TGACAGATCCGAGCGAGTTCGTGTACAAGGAGAAGAGGAGGGGACCGAGAACAGAGCCCTGAGGGACCCCTGTAGTTAATTGACAAGGATCGGACTCGGACCCTCTCCAAGTTACCCTGTAGGTGCGGTCTTTGAGGTATGAGGTGAGGAGGGAAAGTGCAGTGCCTGAAACTCCATGTTTTTGGAGAATGCGAAAGAGGATCTGATGGTTCACCGTATTGAATGCAGCAGACAGGTCCAGAAGGATGATGACAAAGGAGAGGGAGGCTGCTTTAGCAGTGTGCAGTTCCTCAGAGACAGCAAGGAGAGCAGTTTCTGTTGAGTGACCTGCCTTGAAACCAGACTGGTGCGGATCCAGAAGGTTGTTCTGATGGAGATAACAGGAGAGTTGTTTAAAGACAGAGAGAGACAGGCCTGTAGTTTATAACATCAGACGGGTTGAGAGAGGGTTTCTTTGATCCACGTAATTGTTGATTTTCAGATTATTCTACACCAACCATTCAAAATGTCCTGTTTTTTTGTTTTATATTTAAATATATTGCTCTAACTAGTATACCATGGAGTGTTTTTATGCTGTTAACTGACAAAGTGTATACACTTCAATTAAAAAACGATATATTTTATTTAAAAAACATCATTAAACCCAGGGACAAATATGAGATCTATCTTTGGATCCAGATTGTGATTTTCCGTAGGACTTGACCTTACACCCCATAATTGTGTTGGAGTTTAGTTTCTGAACAAGGCTTGCACTGAGGACCAGAGTGCAATGTGTGTGGTGTGAGATGAATATGATAACAGACAACCTGTATCCAATCCGTGAAGTCAAACACGGGCCATAAACTGTGCAGATAAGCCTGGGATGCTCTGTTCGAGTATACACCCACCACACTTTGAGTTTCAGTTTCAAAGAACACACCTGCTCAGGAGCTCTTGGCTACATTGATTGCTTTGACAGGAGCTGGTTTGAAAAACAAGGCCTTGCTGAACGAGGCGTGCACTGAGAAGAATCATCTGACATTGGAAACATAATTTTTTTGGGGTCAAACAGATTCATCCTGTGCAGCCATGATTGGTGTGGACTTGCGGGCGCTCACTCAGCCAGTGGGCATCATGCGAATAATGGCGGCCATCCTCACCTGTATGTGTTTTAGCCTGGTGGCAACAGTGGGATACGTAGAGTCTCCCTACTGGGCGTGGTGCATGTTCACCTGGTGTTTCTGCTTCTTCTTCACTCTTCTCATTCTCATCCTGGAGTTCACAACTGTCAACACCAAATTGCCTTTTGCCTGGGAGGATTTCACCACTGGCTTTGCCATGCTGTCGACCCTCCTGTGTCTTTCCGTCTCCATCATATACCCCACATTTTTCACTTGCAAGACCTGCCACCGACAGATCGGAGCCTCTGTTGTGTCCTGGGTTTGTTTCGGGGTGTACGCAGGCGAGGTGGTTTTAACTCGCCTTCGTCCAAGCGGGCAGAACATCGGGTTCCTCTCCACGTTGCCCGGCATCATGAAGATGCTGGAGACGTTCCTCGCCTGTCTCATCTTCATGTCCCTGGAGACAGGACAGTATTCAAACTTCCCAGGAATGCAGTGGTGCGTGGCCGCGTACTCCTTTTGCTTCATCTTCGCCCTCCTCATAATCCTGCTCACCACTGCACAGCTGAACTCTTTTGTTCCGTTCTTTGACAAACTTGTGATTGTCTATAACATTTTGGCAGCTGTGATGTATACAACAGCAATGGTGATCTGGCCACTGTACAGTTTCCGCAACAATAAGAGACCCATTACCTGTGCCTCCCTCTGTCCCTGGGATAAACTGGTGATGGTCACCTTCATGACGATATTCAACGTCATTGTTTACACCCTGGACACGGTTTACTCCATACGCCTTGTGTTCTTTGTAAGCAATGAGTGAAGCTGCTGCCTCTCAACGTGAACTGAAAACAATCCAGGGATTTATAGATATACTGTTCTTTTAGACACAATGCTGAATGCAATACATATATTCTGCTGAAGATGAGTGATTAAATTAACAGCATGTTTGGTGCCCTGTATACTATGTGGAGTTAGTTAATGATTAAAACTATTATATCACTGTTGTAAACATTTAAATTAGCCTGGTAGAACTTTGGATCCTGATGTAAATCAAATAGTGCAGGTCATAATTTTTAGCTCCTACTTTAGTTTTTATAACACTGTGTCACAGTCAAATAAGGCCACATGTCAATCTATGTCGACACTTAAATGATTGTGATATCATCATTCGTGGGTGGCCTGCTGATTAAAGGCATAGCAGTTGGTAGCACCCTCATGATCATCTAATCTAATGCTCCACAAAAAAGCATTAAAATGTACTATTTCTTTATTCGTAAAATAATTTTCTGGCAAAGTAAATGCCTACAGATAACAATGAGTTTAACATGATGCATGGACAGTGACAAGCAGTGCGTCTATTGAAAGATGCAACGGGAAGAGAAGAGGAAGAGAAACAGGTAGAGGCGAGACAGCGGGAGATTTCCAAGTTGAAGCGATGTGTGGGAAAAGTGGAAGAGAAAACCCTTTAATTAACAGCTAACTGCTGCAGGAGTTGTTGTTTTTTTTCAAGGTCTTATCTTTCTTTTTTTCTTATTTAGCTTATTTTCTTGCTCAAACTTGTAGTGGGTAGGAATGGAAAGCTACAAAAACTATGACGTCAATTCATTATTTTCCTTTTTTAACCAATAGGAAGTGTAAAAAGACATCAACCAAATCTCACTTGTAATCCTGCATCCTTTGTGCTACCTGGCACACCAATCCGTGTGAGCGATCGGGAGTCAAAAGGAGCAACCGGAGCGTGGAAATTTAGCTTTTCTTCTCATGTCAGTCTGTCAGAAAGACAGAGCTTTTTTAAGTCAATTGTCTGTTTCTGTCAGACACAGAGGCATGCACAATCTGCTTTCATTTAGATTGCACAAGAGACAGAAATGCATTAAACAGAGTGTTTTCTTCTACATAAAACTGAATAAATATGGTGGCAATTTAAACTAGGCTGCAGTTACAGATCAGTTGTAAGAATGACATTTGTTCATGAAATCTAATCTTGTACTTTAGAAAGGATCTCCTAGACTCAGCAGTGGGAAAGTGTTTCTGTGCTGTATGTTCATTAAATCAATGACATTCCTCCAACCTGCTCTAACTCTGTTATCTGAGGGGAGTGTGTCAAACACTATTGACAATTATTGACAGGTTCACTCATTAAGTGCCGTTTAAACTAAATAAATGATTGCAATTAATGGCAATGGCAAAACTTATCTTGGAACTCATTTACTTTGATTCTCCCCAAGAAGGAATTTTAGGGAACGCAGCTGTAAGGACATGTTTAAGGGATTCTTAGTGTACAGTATTTTTAAGCAACAATAATCGTTGACCCTTAATGTGTTTATGTTTTAAAATAAATGAAGTTTAATGTATTTGAATGTTTTACCTCTAACTTGTCCTTAATTCACACAGTCTATTACATTACGTTTATATTGTTTAATATTTAATAGGGAAAAAACAATGCCTGTCAAAGGTGTATCATCTCTGGTTTATGATGATATTTGCTTATTAAGATATAAAAAAATAAAAAAAGCTATTTCTTTTAGACTATTTTATATCAATGTTCTTATTCTAGGGAATTTACATTGAAATTTTAATGTAAAGAATAAACCTCAATAAATGTATCGACATTTAGTTATCAGCAATAAACACATTTCTTAACTTCAGGTCCATTTTTTGCTTAATTAATCTTACTTCCCAATAACCTCTTACTCATTTTAAAAGGGATCTTTATTTTATTTAATATAAATAATGTGGATACCTTTTGGACCAATCAGTGACAAGATGCAAAATGTAGCTGCTTTTAATTTTTATGCTCCCCACAAATGGAACAAACATCCAGAAAACCTGAGTTCTTCACCAACGCTGAGTTATTTTAAGTCGAGGTTTTCTGGATGTTTGTTCCATTTGTGGGGAGCATAAAAATTAAAAGCAGCTACATTTTGCATCNTAATAATACAAAGTTATTATGGCTGTGTATACCTTGTGTGCACCGCCTAGTGGTTAAAGCACGTTATTGAATTATTGTTTTCATGTGTTATATTTTATGAAAAAAATATTAAGAGTACATACTTTCATAGGGGGAAAGTAGAAGGTCAATGATAGAAATATGTGACCCGCTCTATCGAAATCAGTCGGAAGTCGCAACGGCTCATTTCAAAATAAACGTGGATTTGCGTAAAAAACTATTTTTTCGGGGTTCGGGTGTTTTGTTTGATTTTAAACAAACAAAGTCTTGGCTTTCAGAATATGAAACTTTTATTTCCAAACTCACACGATAAATACATTCTTTAAGCTTGTAAAGGGAAGATGACAGGCAATCCTGCTCTTCCGCAGCGNGACGCCTTTTAACTTGTTTTAGCAACTACCGTATTTACAATGTCGTTTTTAAACTATTTTGTATCTCATTAATGCATTGTTTTTATGAATCTGTTATTCCATTATGTTTATTCATTGTGTTCCTTTCTGTTGTATTACTATTATGTGTTAATGATCATGTAAAGCACTTTGAATTGCCTCTGCGTCTGAAATGTGCTATATAAATAAACTTACCTTACCTTGTAGCGCAATAATAACAGATTTACCTTCAAATTATAACACCCCATCAGCCTATTTGTTTTTGTTTATTTGTCTCCGTAAATTGATGGGAGAGCTGTTATAAGCCTGTGGCTTCATGACCTTTTCTGACACCTCTAATTTGTTCACACATTTTCAGAGAACCGTACCAAAATGTTTCATGAATGCTCCAATCCAATTCTTTAAGAGTTGGCTGTGTCTGAGATAGTGTAAAAATAGCTGGAAATGAGCATTAGCATTCATATCCATGATTAAAAGTGCATTGGGTAGGTCTTTACAGTGTTCTAAAGAGCTATTTATTAAGCTAGCTAAAGACAGTCTTTAAACAGGAGCTTTTTATTTTTCTCAACATAGTATTCTGGAATAACTCTATACTGTCAACTGTATGTTATTATATATAAAGGTGTATGTTGGCAATCCAGTGTATTGTATTTTTTTTAAAACATCCTTGTCCTGCTGCATGCTGTGATCCACTGAGGTGAGCTCACTAGATACATCCTTCCCTTTTAAGTGATCATCATCTTTAATTGATCTTCTCCTCTGATTAGTGGCCTTTAAATGTTACTGTGCGGCAATCAGGAGAGGACATTTTGAAAATATATCACCACTTATTAACTGGCACTATTTCAAGATTGTCCGGGGGAAAAAATCAATACACCTTATATCTGAAAAATGTTTGTGAGATAGAGAGAAAATGCCTGCATGTTTGCTGAGTCATTTTAAGTCTTAATATAACAAAGTGTACCTGTTCAAATAGTAAACTGAATCCCTCTTTATCAAATGTGTATGCAAATTAAAGCAGAAAACGACGGTCTTAGCTACAATGCTAATAATGCTAGCAGTGGATTGCACTTTAAAGACTATATCAGTGCTTTTATAAACAAACCTTGTATCTGCCTCCGCATTCTGATGTTTAACAAAGCAAATGTTTTCTGGCTTATTAGGCAACTTTGTTTTTTGCAGTTATGGTAATTCAGAAAGTAAGTTTTGTGGTTGTTTCTTAATTTCTTCAGTTTAAGCATTTGTCAGCAGCTATTGGCTGCACTGTGAAAGTTCAACAAATTTGAACTTTTTATACATATTTTTTAATTAAGTAGGTTTTTACTGTTTGAAGGTTTCTCATTTCTCTAATTTCCCCTCCTCGACTCCTCGGTCCTCGACTCCTCGGTCCTCCGCTAGTGACCCGGAAATGGATTTCAGCGCGCCATGTTGAAGGAATTCTAATTTCTCTAAATGCACATCGAGGCCCGAGGATCGATCATCGAGGAGGCTCTCTGGAGGAGCTATAATCGAGGATACACTGATGTATCCTCCGCGGATGGAGTGATGTTTGTAAGAGTCGTGACGCACGGCCGGACTTATCTCAGCCAATGACAGCTCTGCATGCATCCCCTGGATATTATTTTATTAACTGCTTTAATCACGACGCGATGTTTCCAGTGATAACAATTGGTATGCTTTAGTTTAGTACAAACAAAGAGTCGATATTTTTCTAAAACCATTTAGTGCTTCACATAATAAAATACACAACGGCTGTATATATATACTATATGCTTTAGGAGCTGTAGGTGTGTGTTGTACAGTGTGTGTGTGTGTGTGTGTGTGTGTGTGTGTGTGTGTGTGTGTGTGTGTGTGTGTGTGTGTGTGTGTGTGTGTGTGTGGGTGTGTGTGTGTGTGTTTTATCTGATCCGGATGGTTACTAATTCCTTTTCTTCAGGAAAACACCATGGGTGTTACAAAGTTGATTTGACGGGAACACAACAGGAGGGTTAAACATGTTACTGTACCTTGAAGATACAGTTACATTAGGCGCGTTCACACCGGAGTAATTTTCCCCGTACTTTTCTCGTTTAGTTCCGTTAGTACCCCTTATGTCGCGTTCCCACCAAAAAGAGTACTTAGTGCCGGGAACTTTTACCCCCATTGTTAGTGCCTGCTGAGAGGTGTTACTCTCCTGGAGGCAAAAAAAGTGCCCCAGTTCTTATTGGCTGGGCGAATTGCAAACCACGCCCCTTAAAACTCTGAAATGTTTTTGTAGAGCCGCCATTTTATTATCCTCGCATTAGTATTATTAGCATTAGCATTCGCCCAGCACACAAACGCAGAGAGACTAACTTATGGTAACACAAAAGAAAACATGGGAGCGGTGGAGATGAGGAGGTGTCAGTGTTCTGGCAATTTACTCGGAAGGCTTCAGTAGAAGCTGCTGGGAGTCCCAGCAGCTTCTACTGAAGCCAGTCTCCAACCCCGGGCACTTCCAGC